CCCCAAAACCCCAAAACCCCAAAACCCCGCAGGAGTAGTACCAGATTGAAGAATTTGTCTGCTTTATTTACCCCCGTTGTGTAAATATGGTGACTTGCTCATGACCATAAACGCCTTGGGATCAGCCATGTCCTTGTTGAGTAGGTTACTGTGGGGTATAGAGGGTGTAGAGAGCTCGAAGTTGCGGGGGTTTTGGATTTTTGATTTTGAGAATGGGTCACTGATGTCATTAGATGACCGGGAATTCAGTTTTCTCAACTTGTGGGTAGATTTTATGCTGTAAGGATCCTTCATATTCCCTCTTGAAGACCTTGGCTTGAAGTTGACAGATGATGTCCAAGGTAGCTTTGAAGAAATCACTGGGAATTCTGGATTTAGTTCGGTTAAAATCTTGTTTATCTTCTCTAGCACAGGGTATTTACTCTCTTGAAGCTTAGAATCTGGTGTATATAAATTACTTTTCTTGGAAAATGATTCGTCATATTTGGACAAAATATGTATTAGTCTCTCCTTCTGTTCTTTAAATTTAGTATAAAACTTTTTATTCATTGATTCCTTTGCTATCTTGACTATTCTTTGTTTCTTTATCTTCATCAATAGAGGATCTTTCAGCTTTTCAGAAAGGATATCGCCTTGCTCAGCATCTGGATTTAACCCAATGCTTCGTAGTTTAACCTCCAACCCTTCTACTTTCTTCTTAATATTTTCAGTATGTTCGTCAATCTGGGTTTCAGTTTCGGTCTGAAACTGGATTTGAGCTTCATATTGTCTCTTTTTATTGACTAAGACAGTCATTTGCTTAACATTATCTTGAATAACCCCCATGGCATCTGACACTCCAACAGTCATGACCTCGTTCATCTTCTTTTCTCTCTTAAATTGGTCATCCTTCAGATTTCGGAGTTGCCTAAAAAATGACCAAACTTGCTTACTTGTGAAGCTTCTCAATGTACTCATAGGAATCAGTGACTTCTTTCTGCAAGTCAAGTACAAACTTAGGGTCCTTGATCTTCTGAATTCTTTGCTTATATTTCTGGTGCTCCTCTGAGAGGTTAGCGATCATGTTCTTGTAGTTCTGAGATTCTGCAGTCAGCCTTCGTATTTTTTCCTCCCTTGTTCGCTTTAGTTTACCGTTATCACCGTATTTGTACCCAATTGAACTTATTGAGGCAAGCTTATTTCTCTTTGATGTGCTCTATGAAGTCTGAAAGAAACTCGTTCATTTCTTTCAGCCCTTCCCTCATTAACTTGTTTTCTTGTAACAGGAGTTTGCTCTTTTGCTCTTCAGAGGTTGAAGTTTTCATTTTCTTACGGAGATTTTTGCATTTTTGAAGGTAAGCAGACATTTTCTCTACAGGATTAAAAATTATGTACCTAGTTTTGGCTGAGGGTTTCCTAATACTTTTGTCGATTCAGAAGAAATACTAGATTTAGAGTTCCTTTTTAGACTCTGGACTGAAGATCTAGATTTCACCTTCCTGTTGTAAATTCCACCCCTCTTAGACACAGTTTTGATTGCCTGAAGTTCACTTCCGTTAAGCCTAGGAGAGAATGCACCTCGGGACCTCTGGCCAGCTAAGGATTTAAAAACCTTCCTCCTATCTCTACTATCATAACTCATCTTGATCCCACCCCTATTAGAGTTACGTGAATTCCTGGTTTTCTCAATTCCTTTTATATCTTCTCAGCTATCTCTTCAAAATCATCCTCATAATGACTACTACTACCATCTTTATACGCATTTTCATCGCCAAAATCAGCTAAAATCAGTTAAAACCCCCTTTCACCCCTAAAATGCCTCCTAGAAGCCCTTTGGTCTTAAACTTTCTTACCATATCTCTCATTTGTCCTTAAGCCAGGCTTCATTTTTTGCCAAAAATAAATTTATTCAATTACAATGAACACTTTCGGGGTTTTGGGGTTTTGGGGTTTTGGGGTTTTGGGG